CGATATTGAGCCCAGTGAACAAGAAGTGAATCTAATGCGGCTGAGAGGACAACGGTAAGAAATATTCCTTCTTACTAATATTATAAATGCAGATAGTGTAGATGGATGAATGGATGGATGGATATTTGTTAGAAGGTATCTTTAGAACGGCTAATAATTAGCATAGATGTAGAACATAGTCTGGAAGAACACATAGACTACTAATTAACTTTTTAAATTACGCGCGGGCAACAGTTAGTAAGGAGTATTTAGAAAGGGTTAAATTCAATATTTACAATACATAAAAAAAATTATTTCTTTTCAGATTAAAAATTTAGTAATTTTACTAACTAGTTGTTAAAATGTTAATGTTAATATCTCAATTATAATTTCCAGAAGAAAATCACGTTCTCTTCTCTCCGTGGAAACAGAGAACGAAGCTAAAGAAGCGCGCAGATCTCACAAATCTAAACGTAAAGGGAAGAAATCAAAAAAGAAGAATAAGAAGAAAGTAATCAAGAATAAATTCATTCTAACACTCGTCCGTACAATGAAGAATAATACAGAGGAACATCTAGAAACGGAGATACATTGCAAGCATACACGACTTTATCCTAACAATACGTTTGTTAGAGATCTTGTTACTATACTTAATGATAATAATATCAAGGTGATAAACAATGGTCGTGTATTCGAACGCAACAAGGTGACTGAACTAAGCAAAGACAAGAAAGTGGAGAAAGTGCTCAAGAAGATGGACGTGCGGATGCCGCCGGAGGAGCAGGACACAACCAGCGTCACACCAGCGCTGCCTCAGCCACATAACTCTATTGGACAGATACCGGTAATGGAGGTAACAACTTACTAGTGATACGGATAGTATAACTTACATTTTGAAAACCATAGTCAAATATGGATATATGAATCACTGATGGGCTTATCGCGGTTGGTTCTGTCAGTATATATATAAAACCTACTTAGAAATAGAAAATTACATAAAGAAATTATGACATCTATGACATTTTTTGACATTGACAGAGGGGCGCTAGTGAGCTAACTTCATTTAGTTCGACTTATGTCCACCGATTCATATAGTCTTTTTCTATTTATAATATTTTAAAAATCGTCAGGTACCAAAGCAACCATGGCGCAACGGTAAGAAGCTGAAGCCGGGCAGGCTGGTGGAGGAGGCGAGTGGTTCCGGGGCCGGGGGC